CTCTTTAAATGAGTGAGAGAGCCAACATTTTATGACAGATTTTTTGCAGCGAAACGCTGACAATTCAATTGAAATGCAGCAACGAGGCCGAGTAAAAAATTGTGAGCTGCAATTTTGCAGCGTTGTCATCGAAAACCAACATCAACCTCCTTTACCCTCCGCTGATCCATTTGGTAGCCAACAAAAAAACACAAATGCAATGCTAAAAAAGAGGAAACGAAATTAAACCAAGCTACGGGACCTGAATACGTGGTGGTAGCGAGGGGCGTTTCTGCAGTTGCCTAAAAAAAACCCAACGAAAAAAAATGCAAATACTCGAGTGTACGACAATGTAAAACAGAAGCTGTAGCCAGGCATCCAAACTCATCCTGAAATGGCAAACAAAATAAAAAAATAAGTGAAATAAAAGCGGACAAAGGGAAAAGAAGGTGCGTTAAAGGGTGTAGGGAGGATTGCCAAGCGACTCTCTCTTAAACTAAAATAAAAGACTGCAGCACAACAATAAGGTGGAGCAGAGGCGTTTGGGGCAGAGCGAAGTGGAAATGCTCTGCAGGCGAGGCAGACCAAAAATATAATACAGTAAAGTGAAAGATGAGCACAGCAAGTGCTGACAAATGAAAACGTATTCTAGAGGATAATATGGATGAGCTGAGAATATATAATACAATACAATAATACAAAATGTATCCGACAATTAAAAGTACCTAGTTAAAATACGAAAATATAGCTAGCTTTTAGATTGGGCTTATTTTATTTTCTCTTGATTATATATATACGCTGATTTAATTCGCATATATTAAAACTTGTGCGTAGTTTCCTCCTCGCATTTTAATAATTCTCTTATATCAAGTATTGGATAGATCAACCAATTAACCCTCTTTATATATCTGCTGCCTTTGTGCAGCGTTGAGCAACGCAGATTTTCAATAGCCAAGCAACTGACTATGCTATATATATTTGCATACCCCATACCCATTAAGTATGCAAGAAAGGTTGCAGTAAAGTTTTCTTAACAAATGAAGGTATATGTATCTATGTATCCATGCAGAGCAAGTCGGGTTATTTTAGCTAATTGCTTCTAACCGTGCCTCCTCTGGACCTAGTTGATTTTGGATACCAAAAGAGCTAAAGCTATACCAAATTTCGTATAACAAATACAGCTTAAAATGTTCACATTCATTTTTAATTATTTCTAAACTTTTTACGGGTATATATTCATATGTGCGTGGGCTCATCTGCAACTATTTGTTTAATTAACATTTATAGTTAGCCTGCATTATATGTGGTCATAGGATATCTTAAAGTCTACTACTCGCACCTGAGAAATTTCCACTCGTTTTTTATTGGCTTGGCATACATTAAATTGTGCATTTACGAATCTCTGTGCCCCTTCGTGTATATGTGTATATGTGTGTGTGTGGGTGTGTATTGATACATATATCTGGCTGCTCGCAATATGAAGAGCAAGCGCGGCCAATTAAATATTGATGGACAGCAAGTGGTGCGCGGAGAGTTGTGTAAACAAGGCCCAGGCGGCCGCAAACACGCTGCGTATGAGTGATATTTTGTGCGGTGGCAGTAAGCGATGGGTCAAGCGAATAAAGACCTACGCAGTGGCAGCATTCTTTGCATAAATATGAATACAGTAAATGGCAACTGTAACTGACGGCTCATAAGAGAAGAGTAAGAGGGGAAGAGTAAGAGTAGAGAAAGAGCAAGTTTTTTTTTTGCATAAATTAGAAACTCCGTTCCAATCTTATGCAGCATCAAATCAGTTTTATGAAACGCTGCAGCCAAGCATTATTCATGGCACGGCCTTGACAGACAGCGTCAGTTACGGGGGGTGGCTGGATTTTGCTGCAAGTTGAAAATATGTATAATTATTTGTACACATTTTTTCAAAGCGTAAATTGCAGAATTTAAAATTTTAAAGAGTAAATCAGCCGAAAGCCGCTCCACCTCTCCTCTTGCCCAAAACCCAACAGCTGACTGCCATTTCTCGCTTGTCAGGTGATGCGGGCCGATAGCCACACACCTGCGGCGCAATTTTCTACACTTTGGCGCATTTCTTTTTCGTTGTCTGTCGGCTTGGTCCAGGCACCTTATCATTTATCAGAGCTCTGCAAAGATCAAAAGCAGCCATCAAAAGCAGCAAGCGGCAGCAGCGACAGGGGGGGGAAATTGAATAGAAGAAGCAAAGCAACCGAGTTAGAGACAGAGGCAAGAGAGGAAGAGAGCAGATAACTGAGCTTAAAGAGCAGTTTGTTATGTGGGTCGATTGGTTGGTGGGTATTGTGGCTTGGTTTTGGGTGGTCTCTGATGCCATTTGCTGAAAATGAAACTAATTTTGTTGATTGTGACGGCAAAGCATTGCACAAGCATCGACAGTTGATATATATGGGCGCAGCAAGGAGCTTTGTATCCTTGTATGCCACTTGACAATTGCTTGAAAAATATGCACAAAAAAAAACTTGATGAATTGCACTGAGAGAAAACCATCAACTATTGCTTGAATAAAACACAAATCGCAATTCCTATAGAGATACTTTAATAATTGAAAAAGCTTTTTAGGTATTTATAAAGATGGATGAGAATTAAGATTGAGATATTGACAATAATTTATCAGAAACAGTTAAAGTGTGAGCCCAAACGAGAGTTAAACATGTAGAGCTAGCGATGGAGCTAGAGGTAGGGCTGAAGGTAAAGTTGGAGATAGCGCTGGAGGATATCCCAAAGGTGGAGTAGAAACAGAGATAACAGTAGAGGTATAGGTAATTATTATCTGGAAGAAGCTAGAAGCCAGAGGTAGAACTTAAGGGGAGTAAAAATTATAAATAAAGCTAAAGTAACAACAACAACTCATCAATTGAGCCAGAGCTAAGTTACGGGAGCAGAAGAGACACGGGTGAATCTGAAGTTAGAGCTATGGCCAGAGACAAAACTAGAACCAGACTACAATCAGTATAAAGAGATAGAGAGGTGCACTTACTACACTCTAATCTTAAACATCTGTTTTCTTTCTCGAACTTCTTCCATTTTTTCTACAACTTTAACTAGTTTCAAAGTCAGTTAGTCAATAAGCATATATCCGATTCATTTTCTTTTCAAAAGTAATTACACTTTTCCCTCTCTTAAAATATCTTAAGACTCTTTGACATTTTCAGAAGATACTCAGTTCTGTCGCCGTATACTCGCAGTGCACAACATATCTATGCCATCTATACCTGAAACTTTAAATTCTTGCAAAACTTTTGCCACCATTCTTGCCATTGCACACCTGAATGCCGTTGGGCAACACTTCCCCTCACCCTCGCTCAACCGCACTCGCCCCCTTCTTTTCCTTTTGCCTCTGTCACATTTCCCCGCATCGCATTACTAGCCAGTCGCAATGCTCTTTCCCTTTATGACATTTTATTATACCAATTAGACTGAGGCGCCTTGGGCCTGGCATTGTTCTCATTCTCATTGTTCGCTTTGGGTTATTTCTTTTTCACACCTATTTTACCTGCTGACTGCTCGGAATTTACGGCTCTCGATTGTGCTTTAACATTTATTCATCCGCAGAGCGGCAGGAGCTGGTCGAGCAGCTGGAGCAGTTGCCATTGCCTTGTTTCTCCACTGGGCTCTCTGGGGGCCTCCTTTGGGCTGCTTTGGGTGTCTCGTTGGTTTTTTGCTGCCAGCACTTCACTTGCAGCACATTTTTCAAATGTGCAACACTTGCCGCCAGTTGTTGTTGCTTTTGTTGTTGCTGTTGTCGCCATGTTGCTGGTGCATTTCGGCACACAAATGACATTTACATTTTGAGCACATAATGTTGCCGTTGTTGTTGTTGCTGTTCTTGCAACTGCTGTTACGTATAGCTCTAGGTGATAATTGCACACGGCGTCGAGCACACAACAACAACAATAACAACGGCAATAACAACAGAAACAGCAACAAGAAAATGTGCCAACAAGTGCAACACTTCAATTGTTACTGAATGCTGCTGCCGTTTTCAGAATTTTATCCAGTAACGACTTCCTGAACTGCTCGTCTACAAATTGCATTTTATGACTTTAAAATTGCAGGTGAAGCAAATGAAATTAAAGCCAAGGAAAATCAAGAATTTCATTTGGTACATACGCCTGGCTAAGCTCTTTATCAATAGTACTGACTGCTAGCCGCGCCCATTTGGTCAGCCAATTGGCCCGGACAGGCAATAAATTAGAAAGAGGCCAGAATAAAGCTAGTATTGCCGTGAATGGCAATAGGGGCTGCAGGCGGAAGGAGCTGCAATAAACCAAGAATAGAAATACTAGCAAAGCCTACATCAAAGGCGAACCTGGTAGCCACTAAATCTGCTAAGCTCCACGTTGCCATAGCTTATCGGCAGGCAAAAAAAATAATAATAAAAGGTCAATCAAAGCTAAAGCCAAAGCAAAAGCCGCACTTAATGGGAAGGTTGATCAAAGCAAACTGGCAAACTTCAGCTAAAGGAACTTTGTGAACAGGATATTAAAGTGACTCGGCGACAAAGCTGAACGAGGTGAGAGCATCAAATGGGATCAACTTCTGATGAGGCATTCAAAATAAAGTTGTCTATCGGAGCGGAATGGAAAAAAACTAAAAGTCGATAAAGTAACAAGAAAAAAATATGAATCAATATTCTTTTAATTGTCCTGATAAGGGAAATGTGCAGATATGTTAAAAGCTGACTAAAGTACGAAGTTGCTGAGTTTTGCCAAGATAACATAAACATAATAGCTTTATGATATAGTGGCCCGATGTTAATAAGACTTCAGGTAAAGAACATGGTGAATCAGGTATATACCCAGCTTGTTCAAGATATCTCAAACCCCAACAAGGTTTTTGTACAAGTACTTATTACGGAAGCTTTATAATAAAGTGGATTAATCCGGACTATTCCAATTCACAAAGACAAGACTACTGATACTCAGGATCGAGAGTAAATATATATTCCTCTACAAAAAGTAGTTTGCCCCGATGCCATAAAAACAATATACATTTATATTGGCAATTTGATATGAATAACATATACAAAACCAGAGAAAAGTCAAACGACAGTTTATACAAAAATATTTACTTTCGATTAAAGTATTGCAAGCAGTTAAGGATAATTCTAGACAAAATGTGTTGCCTTATTAATTAATATGAAAAACATTTTAACTAAAAATTGCCAAAGACTCATTCCAAATGAGAGATATTTAATCAAATGTTCCAAACCCCATTCAGCCGCAGCCTTCTCTGTCTGACTCGGCAGTTTACTGTCCAGTAGTGGACATGAATTCCTTTTCGGCACATCACCTCTGGCCGTGAAGTCGCTGCCTATGATTATGTTGGCGATTGTCTCAAGACTTCGATTGACCTTAGTTTAAAGATATTTACCTGCGTCCACCTGGTGACAGGCCCAAAGAGCTAGCAATAGAATTAAGGCTAATGAACAGCGTCGCATGGCAGTTTTTTAATAACTTTTTGCCAATTTCGATATACTGTTCGTTTTATAGGTTTGTTGTAAATACGCTGCGAATTGATTCGTTTCAGTTATGCTTCGGCTAAATTATTAACATTTATTTCTTTTGAATTTCTGCTTGCTAAAAAATAGCAGAATATTTGATTTGAATCAATTCTTTTTAGAGAACAATCTTCTAATTCTTAAATAAATAAATATATATATTTTTTTTATATTTATAATTTGGTTAAATGCGAGCAGCATGTCAGCATCATGTTTCTCTGCCAGCTAACAGTGCCTCAAAGCTGTATTGCTAATTGCCTTGTCTTGACCCAGTATCATTGCGATTGTTGGTAGGAAACCCAAGTTAACTGCAGTTTTTTCCTGTTACTGTTTATTGTTCTGTTTGTTGTTTTGCTGTTTTGTTGCCTTTTGTGTTGATTTTCCAGTCAGTCGCACTTTGAGCCTTGTGCAATTCAAGTTATGAACAACGTTTCGTTTCGATCTATTCCGTTTGGCTTTGTTTAACAATGTGATATGAAGGGTAAAACGAAACTAATGGTAACTTTTTATTGTTTGGCAGCTTTGGCTGATCTTTAAATATTCAAAAAGTTTGGACAAATAAAATAATATTTTAATATGAAAATGAACTATGAAATAAATAAATTAAATATGAGCACAAAGATTGAAATAAATTATAATACCTTTAAAAATTGCCATAATAAAACCAAACAATAAAATGTCGAAAAAGTAAATGAAACAGAGCTGTTGGCAAAAAATGTTGCAGAAATGTTGCCTGCCATTTAGCTGAACTAGCAATGGAAAAACTGGAAAGTCTACTTCACAGCAGGGTATTCAAGAGTTTGGCAAAATAATTCTATGCGCTATTTCCTTGAATTTCAGCTTTGTTGTTGTTGCTTTGTTTTTGGAGAATTGCATGCATTTCACATGAGCCGGCAGCAATTCCTCATTTGCATTTCTGGTGCCGCTTTCCATTTGGTTTATTGCGTATTTTATTGTTTTGCGCTGCTTTATGGCAACTGGCAAACGTAGTGTGTAAATATTTGCACAGCCACCGTCATATCTTTGCCACTCACTATGCCAGCGGGAATATTCTCACAGATGCGTTTAACAATGCGGAAGAGTGCAATATTTGCTTGGCCATTTCAATCGGCACCATTGTTGTTGGCCAGCGAAATTTCAATTAAAATCACTGGCTGCATACTTTTGCCGGACCGTGTCAGGGAAACGATTCACCGAATGGCATGCTTAAATTTTATTAATTTTAAACAAAACTCATTACATAACACAAGCTGCGACTGGCCTATTAAGCAAATGGGCTAGCATAAAACTTTGCAAGTCTCACAGTGGCTGGAGGCGGGCCTGGCAAACAAAACAAACTGCAGTAAAACAAAGCGTGTAGAAATAATGTGCTAAATGAACAACGCTCTAAATTGAGGGCGGGGCCATAGTAGGGGCGCATTGGCCTGCGGGGGTTTCTAGCAAATACAAATAAAATTAACTAAACTCAAAACAAATACCCAACTCTCGTGCTCGCTGTCCAGTTTGTAAAGCGTTTAGCGTTGAAAAAAATAATTAAAAACTAATTAAATGGGCCAGACTGAGGGCGGATATGGAGGTGGAGGCGGAGGCGGAGGCTTTGCGCTTGTCGAGCTGCTGCTCCTGCTGCTCCTGCTGTTGCTGCTGCTGCTGCTGCTGCTGTAAAACTTAATTAACTAAATGCCAGGCAGGCAACTAAAACTAAAACAATAACAATAACTCCACAGTAAAGTTGCCCATGCGCGAGCTCATGGGGCGTATGAGTAATTTAATCATCTTGTTGGCATGACCAAAGCTTTTGTTGTCATCCACAAATGCAATTTGTGTCATAAGCAAACAAGAAACTTACATGCCCGAAAGGACTGAGACACACACAAAGTCAACAAAAGTTCGAAGGTTGTGTGCGCTCGTGTGTGTGCGTGTGTGTGAGCGCGTGTGAGGGTGTATGGGTGCGTGGGTGCAAGGTCTTCGGTTTTAAGAACTAACGCAACCACGCAGCAACTCAGCTAATTGAGATGTTTACTAATGGAAACTAACTAATTATTATAAAAATTGTAATTCAATTGCAATCTAATTATTATTTTCTCTCTAATGTGTAATATATTCTTCTTAATTGAATTTAACTATTTTATTCTGCCTCACATTTCCAACCGCCTGTGCAAAAATGTCCACTCAACGAAGTTGATTTTTTGCAGTATGTTGATCACATTCAAAATTGAACATTTAAAAGAGAAAAAGTAAAAATCAATAGTTTTCCATTATAGTTTTTATTTTATTTTGAATTTGTAACGAACGGATGATCGAACGATTTATTATCTCTGACAACCCCTTTTTCCACACCGCTCGAATAATTAGAAAAACAGTTTAATTCAACTATTTTCCACCAATTGTTCACACTAGCGGGTGCACAAGAGTAAATAAAATCAATTGCCTATCTCTTAGCTCTTGGGCTGATCTTTGATCAGTCAGCAGTCAATATAAAATATAAATAAATAGATAATAAAAATTGATCTTTTGTTTGAGTTGAACGTAATTGAGGGAAGACGCCCTTAGTCCTGGCTTTAAGGATTGCGATAGTTGCTTAAAGTGTTTCAATGCCAATTGCCTGCTTTCGCTTTTTTTTCTTGTTGGCTCCTCTTACGGTTCAATTTTATTTTTAGTTCGCTTCCAGCCTTTGCTATTGACTCTTGCACCCATTTGTTTTGGCACCTCAGCTGGCTTGTGTGTCCTGTGTGCTGTATTCTTGCACTGTTTTTGTTTCAAAATGCCTACCAAGGGAGGCTTGAGTTACATTGTTGGGCGTGGCAGGATTTTGCCTTTCCTCTTTGCCTTGGCCTTTAAGTGCGCTGCGAACCATGTGGAGTGTTTGCTCGACAACTGTGTCTACAGTGTGTGTGCGTGTGCAGCAAAAGGAAAAGCTGAGGTTTGCTCTTGCTGGCTTAACTTGCAATCGCCGCGTTGCCTTTAATGAAAACTGACAGCTGCTGCAGCAAAAGGCAGATTAACAAACCAAATATGGCAACAGCTTGGCCAAAAGCATGTGCAACCGCTGCCGCTGGCAAAGGCAAGCACATGCATCCACAACAATGCATGCCTCACAATTTCCATACAAAAGGCGGCAGCCGTGCCCCCTGATTTCTGCTTGCCCCCTTATCTATGTATCATTCGCCGCACACACACACACACATTCATAAAATAAGGCAGAAAGCGCATATTGAAAACGCTTTGGCATAAACTGGGCTGCTCCTCCTCCTTCTCCTCCATCTCGTTACCCCCCTCCACCATGGTGGCATTACTTTGCCGCCCACCGACAATGACTGACCCGGAGTGATAGCAGCCAATGTCCAACTCTGTGGCACTGCCCACTCAATTGTTGTCGAGTGCCACATTGTGTGGCAAACGCTGCTTTCATATGCTTAATTGAAATCGGCGCTGAATGCAATCGAGCAGCAGGAGGCAATGTGGACGGGGATGGCTAGTGCAGTGTATTACCAATAGAAAACTGCTGGCGTAGCCGCAATCCATTTAGGAAACTGCTACTAACTGTTAAGGAGAATTTCATTATAGCAATTGTGACAAGCCAAAGCGAATTATTCTATTCATACTCGAAGAATAATGGCTGTCGTTTGGGTATTAAATAATAGTTCATCCGATTTAATAAAATTGTTTAATTTGATTGTGTTCGGCTGTTTGGCGGAAATATTCATTTATTGCTTAAAGTAATTTTTAAGCCTCTATATGTGCCGAATTTCTGTCTCCTGCAGCCTGCAGGTCTCACGCACTTTAGGCAAGACTTTTCTTGCTCTGTGTTATTTTTTAAGCGAACCCCAACTTCAGCCTCTGCTGAGGCTGCTTTGTTAATTACAATTTTAATTAAAAATGTTGGCGATTTTGGACAGTTGTTTTTCTTTCAGGTATTCGCTTGCTGCTGCCCTTTTGTGGCATGCACTGTTGTTTTTTTTGCACAGTTCTTGTTAGTGTTTTTGCTATTCAGTTTAATTTGGTAAGTCCAAATTGCACAATTTACATAATTTCTGACTGCAAATGGCTTTGGTATCGTCTTTAGCTGACATATGCAGTCACAACAATCCAAAATGGAAATGCTGCTAATGAGAAGTTACCTGTATTACCCCACTTCAACGTCCCAAAAGCCATCGTTAACATTTCTGTGCATATCTTATAAATGAGCTTCGGTCTGGGTCCCAGGTCCAAAGTGCAGAGTTATGTGACCACAGAGCTTGCATATGCTAGGGGCAACTGTTTGTCGAGGCCCAAACATGGCCATAATCGGGACATAATCAGGCAACTCGGCAACGTGCACACCAGCTTTACAACAACACAGCTTAACGACAACACGCCAAAAGCAGCAACAAACAGCTTTAATGGGGTTTCGAATGTTAATTTGCATTTGTTTTCGGAGGGTGGGGCCAAGCGATTAAATGAGGGGTTACGCATGCTAAACGTATATACATATATACACATTTGGAAAATAATATATACAGTATAAGTCTGATTAGGGAAACACCAAACTGTAAATGGGCGGGAATTTGTTGAACTATCTAAAGAGTTAAAGGAAGTTCCTAGTATGTTATATTTGGAAGATATCCAATTTTTTCCACGGAAAAGTAGGTGTTGAACATTTCAAGCTAACAACTTGGCCCTAGACGAAAACAAATTTTACCTTCCTTTTTGTTTGTAAGTTATCGCCAATCCCTTTGTTTATATCGGGTTCAGCTGCTCCGATTGTGTCAGCTCAGAAGTTATCCCCGGTTCCTTTCTGGCGAGTAATTCACTTAATTTATATTCGTTTTAGCTGCACCGACTTTGTCAGCTTTGATGTGTCTTATAGACTGATTTGATAAACGTGTGACTATTACTAGCTAGCCCTAGTCTATACCGCATCGCCGGTTATCGTCCAGCATAATGCTGAGATTGCGCCTCATGCAAGTCTTATATAACGCTTCCGCGACGATCGCGGCCACGGAGTCAGTGGCCAAAGGCAGCTTGTTCAAGACTAATACACTAGTGCAATTTAGTTAGTTATTGGTTTCTTATGTTAGCTTGTATGTATTTACGTATAAATGCTTTATTTTCTTTTATACCAGGCGCAGATTGAGTGCAGTCTCCGCTTCTCTACACACCTTATATAGTTATAGATCAAATAAAGTCAGGTAACTTTTTCTTTTATTATCAAAAAATCGGTAGCAGTCGAAGCTCCAAATTTCAGTTTCTCCTGTTCAATATTAATCGTTATACTCAAAAACTACGCACAAAAATCGTTCAAAGTAGTTTTTAACCAAATTAAAAGTAATTTTAATTAGCTTGTCCCCTGTTAAGACTATTATAAAACCGTATTCAATATGGATGCGGATTTTGATTTTGCCACACCGCCGCCAGAGGAGCGTATAATACGTCCGCATACCCTGAACGCGGAACAGGAAAAGGATCTAACCGAGGCGTTTACATTGTTTGATACCGCCAGAGCTGGTGTGATACCGATGAAACAGCTGAAGGATATCCTAAGGGCTGTGGCACACACTCCGCCCGAACATGAGCTGCAGGACTATTATAATGAATACGATCCCGAAGGTACCAATGAGCTATATCTGAGCGATTTTCTACACATCATGTCGATGCGTTACAAGGATCAAATGCCCGAGGACGAGGTCATACTGGCATTCAAGGTCTTCGACAAGGATGACAATGGCTGGATACACGAGACAGAGTTCCGACACATAATGAGCACATTGGGCGATTTTATGAACGAAGATGACGTTGATCAGATTTTACTAGATGCCAATTCGAATACCGAGGGCAATATCGTTTACAGAGACTTCGTGGCCATGATGAGCGAGCGCTAGAGTCAAGCAGGCGGCGACAAACCAACTAAAACTATTTCCAAATTCAGAATACATTCAGTTCATGATTCATGATCAAGCATTTGGACAAAACAAGTTCTGCTAAAAATTGTTATACCTTACGATAAGATCCGAAAATGAGTCAGCCACCGGAACTAAATGATGAGCAAGTTGCCGAATACAAGGAGGCCTTCGCTCTCTTCGATAAAAGCAATTCGGGCATGATTAGCACTCGGGAGCTGGGCAATCTGATGCGTTCACTGGGCCAGAGTCCCACCGAAGCGGAACTCAGGGATCTGGTCAATGAGGTTGATACCGCTGGCAATGGAGAGATTGATTTTGCCGCGTTTTGCACCCTGATGAGCAAACAATCGCACGAGAATGATACCGACGAGGAGCTGCGCGAGGCTTTCAAGATCTTTGACAAGGACGAGGATGGTTTCATATCGCCGGCCGAACTGCGCTTTGTCATGATCAATCTGGGCGAGAAGCTGACCGACGAGGAGATCGATGATATGATACGCGAGGCCGACTTTGATGGTGATGGCAAAATCAACTACGAAGAGTTTGTTTATATGATAACACAAAAGTAACATTATTCATTATTAATTATTCATTATTCATTATTCATTCCAATTACCAATTATGCAATAGTTCAAATTATAGCTGTAACTAACTGAAAATGTTGCTCAGCTTGTGGCCTCTTTGATTGCTTGTGGATCCAAGCTCAAAGTTTTCCAAGCCACAAGCTCATCATGATTATTAACTAAAACTTAATTTCGCCCCGCCCAGGTTGTCTTTGGGCTTGGCTTCTTTCTAGTTCTAGCTCATATTTGCGTAAATTTTATGTTTCGGTTTTTGTGGTCGGTCACTCTGAGAGAAATTTTCGACAAAACTGCCCAGTCTTTGGGGCGGCTGGGCGTGCCTTCCAACAGGAGCACCTTTGTGGCATGCGAGCAATTTTCCTGTTGCTTAAATTCAATTTACTTATGCATTAAAATTAAATTCTTCTTTGGCCTCGACATTGCATTCATGGGGGCAGCTGCAGCTCGAAACTTATTTTTCAGTTGAGCGAGGAAGGGGAATACGCAGGGGGGGGGGGCATATCATGGTTGGCCTGCCGGCATTTTTGCATACTGCTTCACAGAAATGCCAGCTGTGCTTAATTGAAAGTTCAGAAAACATTGAAAACTCAAATCGATGCACTTCAAGTGTAAATGATAAAAAAAAAATTAGATTTCAATTTCAGATGCAACATCAATAAGCACTTGCAAGGGCATAAATATAATATGCGCTCACACACACACACACATACACAGACAGGGAGAGTGACAGATAGGGAGAGAGGGGGCTACATAGACGCTGCAGCTCGTAAGTGTGGACTATATCCCGGCAGACACAGGCTCTAGGTCTCAGCATGAGGACAGATGCCATTTGTGGGTCCAACTACTGCCAAAGGAAATTGAATTTGTGTGTGTGTGGTGTATGTGTGTGCGTACGAGTGTGTGCTGTGCATTTGTTGCTGTTGCTGGTTTTGGCAGTGCAGCCACATGATAGAGGCTGACATCTCTGGCATGGGGTCATTATATTTTGACATTAATGAGAAGCAAAGGAAATGATCTGAAATGTGACAGCGAAAATACAGGATATTATTTTTAATATCTCGCAATATTTTACTTAAAACATATTGACGGTGTCATAGAGCTAAAACTGTAGACGGGGGCTTTATCCATTTTGTCTGAATGCGTAAAACGAAATTTCGAGCTATATCTAATTTTGGCTCTAGTCTACCGGTTACATCTTTCATAATTTGAGATTTCACTAAAGTTTCAATAATTTGAAATCGATTGAAATTTAACTAACGATTAAAAAATAAATCAGATAGAATATTTAAATTAAATATTATATATAGAAAATAACTAAAATAAATGAAATAGCAGCGTACTTAAGTAATAATTGTTGAAAGGCTAAAAGTATGCCAAACTAAAATTGTTAAAATAAAAACAATATTATAAATTTAACAATTTAAAAAGAATGCAAGCAAATATCAATTATATAATTTTTTTGTAATTTCTATAGTAAGTAGATTTCGAGCAAGAATGTAGAAAGTAAATAGTTGAACTATTTTATCTCAATAAAAGAGCATTTCAAGTGCGCCTCTCTTCTTAGTAAATTTTCGGTGCATTCGCCAAAAATGTTCATGCACATCGATTTAATGTAGAATTTTTTGTGGTTTTTTGTCACACTCAGTGCACACACACCTACGCCCACTCGGAGAGTGTCATTTGGGACACTTCTGCACATGTACTTGGCCACGCAAAAAGGCGCATGCTAGTGACACGGACAAGGACGAGGGCGAATGAGAGTGCGAGTGCGAGCACAAGGACGAGCCGAATCGCTCCGTAAATGTGCAAATGCCACATGGCAGCAACAAGAGATGCAAGCAAATGAGTTTTGGGCGCAAGGACATTTAGGGGGGGGGGGGGGTAGTCCTGGAAACTGCGGTTGTCGAGTGTCCATTTGCCGTAACTCAACTTCACTTAAATATTTTTAGCCATTCAAGAAACGTCTGTTAATTGGTAGTAAAAACTGCAAAACCCCTAAAACCACATCTAGTTGAGGCCATGCCTCGAAATATTCTTCAAGTTGACCATGGCAATCCGCATAAGCTAAAACCTTGAGCTTTTTTACGACTACTAAATACCCGAAGTGCCGTCGTTCAATCACATGCCTAAGTCCAGTTTTCGGCCGGCGGTTACCCTTTTCGGATTAACAGATCAACGCACAAAAGCAGCTCACAAAACCATCGTCTGGGGACTAGCCGAGCTAACAACTTGGCCATTTCGATAGGGCCAATAAGCTTATCTGGGCCAAAGGACGCGCAGTAACAGTTGAAGATAGGCAAAGCCGCAGTCGCTTTGATGACCCAACTAATTTTACAACCGAAAAAACCAACTATTTTAGGCAAGCGCATTTATTTGCATTTGACACACTCAAACTTTAGTGTTGTAAAACGTAACAAGACTATCCTCGAGGCATTTCAGAAATTGCCAATAGATGGTCACACTGGCAATGATGAGATATTTGCAGAAAATTGGATAATATATAAAAGTGCTTGAATATGACAAAATAAAATTGGCTTCTAACATTTTTAACAAATTCTAAAATTATACTTCAAATATAGTTACAATTTTGGTAGAACCCTTGCAATTGTGGAAATTTACAATATTTTTAAAATATTTCAAACATAATGAATTATAAATCTGTTTAAGTATTAAAAGAAAAATCGAGAATGGCGACAATTTGTTGCCCGTTAAAGAAAAATTCGTTTGATATTCCATTCCCTATTCTGCATTTCGAAATAGAGCCCGTCTTGAGCATACTTTCTGAATTTTCTTAAAAAGAAAAACTTTTGTAAGCGTAGGCTTGCCACATACATTCTACTTGTATGAAAAAACGCCATGAGATTCAGTTGCTCTTGAAGATATAGCGTTAAATTGCGTGGAAAATTTATGCGCTGTGCCTGCTTTTCCTTGCCCCCCCCCCGGCCGCCCGCTTCTTCGCCACCCACTGGGCTAAGTTTTCCTTTGAGCGCCCGACTACTTTTACGGCGCATTTCATTTTTATTTTTCACTCTGAAAATTGACTTAGCAAACTACTTGAAATGTAAAAATGTTCGAGCGGCAACTGGAAAGGAAAACTTGCAGCAACTTTGAACGCCCACGTAATTATGCGCATTACACAGCTGACCCAGGCACTCAACCTGTTCCTCTCACTGCAACTGCTACTCCAGTTCATCGCAAGCCCAGCAACGGCAGCGGGCACACCTCTTCAGGAGCTGAGCCCCAAGCGCTTGCGCAATCGCCACACGCATCAGAAACGCCTTAGCGGCAATCTGGACCAGATGGAGGATATGGGCGATGTGTCTGGTGGCTGTTCCAGTAATACAGCGGGCAGCGGTTGCAACGAAGCTGGCGGCGACCTAAACAGCATGAAATGCGACTCCAATACCGAAAGGTTTTTTGGCCGCGCCAGTCCCAAGCAGACCGCCACGAACATAGCCCAAAAGGCCGCACACGAGGCGGAGCAGGCCTACGGCACACAGCAGTCCGCCGCGGCGGAGGTGGCGCACTTGGTCAAGAAACAGCTGGCGGATAGGGCATATGCCGCTGCCAAAGCGGCCGAAGCGGCGCTTTCGGGCAAGCAACAGATTGTGGAGCAGCTGGAGGCGGAGGTAATCGATGCGGAGTCGGTCATGCAGCAGGCGACAGACTCAATTGCTAGCTCTCAGAATAATCTGAATGCCGCGCAAAATTCGGCCAGAAAGGCGCATCAGCTATTTCTGGCCTTGGAGGCGATCATGAAGCTTGCCAAGGAGAATCTGTGTCAAGCCAAAAACGCGGCCAACGGTGCCCAGCAGGAGCTCGATGATAAGGCGAGGCTCATGGAAACGGCGCAGAGTCGCATCGAAATGCTCAAGAAGCGGCTCTGCGAATCGCACAGAGATCTGCAAAATATCAAAAAGTCTGCCTACAAAGCGGTCTGTGCCGCTGCCGAGGCACGCAAAAAGGCCTCCAGAGAACGGCGTACGGCAACCCGAAAGAGGCGCAAAAAACGTCGAATAAAACATGAAGAGGCAGTTGCATCTCAGTGAAAGCAGTTGTTTTTATTTCTATTTTCTAATGACACGCGTCTTAAATAAAATACTAATAATTCCCTCAAAGTGTTACTTATGAATGGATATCTGAACAAATTAAATTTTTAAACTGGATGTCAAGACTTAGCCGTACTTTACTTTCTATTTCTTATTTGATTAGCAAAGCTCTATTGCAACATTTATCTACGTTATGATGTGGCAAATGACAGGTGTGAAAAGTTGCCAAATAATTAAATGAATTCCAAACTGTACACTGTTGACATCCATGTTCACTTTACCACAGATCCCACTCTGTACAGTGTGAAAATGGATTTGGTGTCTATCCTTCTTTACAATCAGCTAAATGCCTTTGTTACCTTTGTTTGTTTCCATCCTCAATTCAACATCCATGGTCACATTATATTTTTAAATGCTCAAAGAACTGATTGTACTTTGAGTATTGGTTTAAAAATATATGTATTAATTTGTTTTGCAAATCACGTTCATTTAACACATATCCATTTTACATTCGTTAAGTTGTCCTCCATGGTCACATTATGATTCGAAGTCCCGGCGTGAATACACACATTTCCAGCCCACAATATGGTAATTTAATATTAAATGCGATTCTTCTACATCGAATAATCCTGTGCAAACACAAAAGTGTGTTTTGCTCTTGGCTCTTGGCAACCGAACGCCGGGCAGAAATCCTTTGAGAGTTTTTAGCGCCAAACAATGTTGGCGCAGCCAGAAGGATGTGTGGGCGTTGCCAGAAAGGACACAAAAGGACAATAAAACAATTTGACCAAAGCTATTTCGTTAGAAGTTTGGACAGACTTTCTTGTCAGCTTAGGGCCCCTTGTTTGCCGGTAATGCGACTGGGACTGGGCGGACCTGCAAAAAGTTTCTCTTTTTCGCACACGTTTTCAATAATGATTAGTTTTTGAATGGGTTCGTTTTTGGGCGAGGGCTGCTTCCATTTTTTATTTATAATGAGCCGAACAAGTCGAAAAAATATTTATACATACATATATAAAAGTTGACAACAAATAAGTTTTTAGAGTGTGCCATTAATTGGGTCATCAAGTGCCCATGTCTTGACTAAGTTGTTCACAGAAAAAGTTGCCGACAGGCACTTAAAGGGCAGGCATTGCCCACAGCCCGTGGGTCATTTAAGCCGCTGATCTGTAAATCCCCCAAGCAGCGTAAATGGACAAGCCAAAAAGGGTTTAGATTTGGCCATGCTTCTAGCATTTTGGCCAGTTGATTGAGCGGCAACTTTTTGTTTTGCTTGGCTCGGTTTTGGTGTCTTAACGCTTGGCACATTAAGCCGCATGCGGCCCAAATCACCGACTATATGCCGCAAAAAATGTGTGTGTGTGTGTGTATATATAGCAGATATGTATGTGTATATGTATCTGCTGACACTTTAATGCCAACACAAGCTGCCAAGTGTTGATCGCTCAATTGCCAACAGCATCAGCAACAGCAGCGGCAGCGAAAACTACTAAAAGTCAGACTAGGCCAAAATGAGTCAGTGTAAATGTGTGTGTGTGTGCGTGTGGGCTGGTGGATTTGGAGGGGTTTCTTTGGGGCTTGACTGCCTTTCCATTCAGTCAATAGAAACCGCAACGCCCCATGTCAACGCCCCCAACTCGACGACAATGCTCGAATCTCAACCATTTGACCAAAATGTATTCATTTCAGCCATGGCAACTACTCACAGTGTGTGTGTGTGTGTGTGTGTGTGTGTATGCGTGTGCGAGTGTGTGTGTTGGTGTTTGGTTTCGTATCCAATTTGCGTATTTTCGGAAACAAATCAAAACAAATGAAATCAATTCGATGAAGCAAATCTAATTTCATGCGTATTTCCTCGCTTTTGGCTGGACAATAAAAATTTCGGGCCTCTTCGTCGTGCCCACCCGCAGCCAAAAATGAAATCTGAAACCGTAACTGTGAATCTATTGTTGTTGTTGTTGTTGGACGCAAATTGCGGCAAAAAGCAAAATATATACTTATTTACGAGTTGCTAGCTGAAATTCAAACAAACTGGCGCCAATTGTTTGCGCCATTTGGGCCACGCCCACAGTCAACTCATAAAATTCGAGGAAAATAATAACATAGCACACATGTGTGTGTCTTCGTGTGTGTGTGTGGATTGGAGACAGGGTAACATATTGCTGAGTTGTGTTTGTTTGCGTCAGTAAAAAAAAAACACGACATGCGGCGTGGTTCGTGCGTGACAATGTTAAGCAGATAAGCACGAAAATAGCTCAAAGATTTTCTCGAATACATCGAAATGTTTCTACGCAATGTTCTTATAAACAAATAAGAATCTCTTTTCATTTTGTATAATGTTAATAAAATTCTAAAATATATTTATACTTGTTCAAAACACAAAAAGAGTTTATACTTTTTGCTTGTACGAGTGCAATATTTTTGGTGCAGTAAAAGATTTAAGACTTGGAATATTATAAAGGATAGTTTGCCTGCGCACAGAGATATCTCTTAATATATTTAGGGGGTAATTTTTTCAAACCTTAGCACGCGCTCATCTCTAGCCTGAATGCCAACTGTCGCACACTTTCATAGAGTGATGGCAGCAAAGCTCAGCCAGCTGAAAGGGTATACACCGCATATATCGATATCGAGTATACGCAGCGTATTTATAAAAGAACTCCCCTTGGGGCTTATGTCATTAACATTTGACCTGAACACGTGGAAGCAGGAACACACCTCCATATGGCATCATTGTTGCTGATGCTTGCGCATTAATTTCATGTCATTAAACATTTGGCCCGGCTATATTATTTACAAAATACAATTCCCACGGCTGTTGCTGCGGTTCGCCAACGGGCAGCCGTTTAATTGCCAATACACGGCATAGGTCGGGGTTTGGCTCGTCAAATTGAAATTTATGCACAAATGGCAAACGTCGAACGTTGAATTTTGTTTGTTTAGTTTAATGGCGGTTATTACATGACCGCCAGATTAATTATTGCTGCTGTTATTGTTGATTCTGTTCTTGATATTGTTAATGATAGCGAAGCTGTGTAACCATTGTGCTCTTGACGCTGTGCTATTAGCCTGATTAAAGTTTGAGATAGAGTACATGTTGGCAATTTGTTAATTATATTAGATAGATTAGGGCAGTTAAGTCTATTAAATATTGATTAAGGAACTTTGCAATAATGTTGCAACCTTTTATTTATGTCCACTTCGTTATGTTCATTTCATTAAAGCAAGCAAAGGGCCATTTCTAAGCCCGACTTCATGCTTCTTAGGCTGCCAAAATGTTTAAACATATAAATCAGGAAGTATTCAGCACTTGGCCACTTGACGGATGTGTTTGCGTCTGGGCCACTGTGCCACTGCGCCGTCTAAGTTGGAACACAATTTTCCAGACAATTGTTTAATTATGCAGCACAAACATTGAGCAACTGTTGCCATGAGAATTCTCACTGTAACTGGGAGCAAAAGAGAAGCGCAGTTAAGTTCAGATGAACTTTTCATGCTGCATGTCCCAAGGCGCTGGCCCTTGCCAGGGCAACAAAGAGAAAAGGTAAATAACACTTAGGCCAGTCGCCAGACGCATACCCCATGCTGCATGCCACATGCCGCATGCCAGAGAATGCAATCCGCTGCTTGGCAAAGTTTGCGCAAAAGGAGCGGCTCAGATTTATATCAGCAGTTGCCGCAGGTGCTGCAACAGCCAAGACTTTGAGCCAAGATGAAAGCTAAGCGGGCGCAGTTCATGCAACTTGGCCAACAGCAGCAACAACAACAGCTCTTGCCGCACAAAACGATGTCAGTCAGTTGCATGTTGTTGCTACAAAAAAGAAACATGTTAAGGGTTAACGGGTAGAGCGGTGTCTGGGGCAAGCGCAATTTTCTGCCAACTATTTTGCCAAAGTGGTTGCAAATATTTCACAAAGTAGGATGAAATAGAGTAAGAAAAGAGCTTTTATTTATTTAGTCAAGAAATTAACTTAAGATTCTTTACTGTTATAGCAGGCTTCTGTGTCTGCCACATGCAACACACACAAAACAAAAAGAAATATGCAACCTAACAGATCAGAGCAAAGAGTCAAGCATATGACTAATTAAATTTTGTTGGAGGAAGAATACAAAATTATGTAAAGCTTTTCTTTAAGAGAAAACGTTTGCTGAAAAAGATTTTAAGTAAAAATATATGATCACAAAATTAATTAAGAATTTAGATAAGGAAAGCTGAAATTTGTATTGTGCTCACCTTATGCGATAAGAGAGAAAAGAGTAGGACGGGTCTTTTGGAAATTTCACTCGCCAATGTGAAAAAAATGGCGGAAAACAACAATATGCAACTTTTTTTTTTTAAAAACCATATAATTTATTTTGAAAATCGTTTGGGCATAGCCATGAGTGAGTAGAGAGAATGGGAGAAAAAATGAAAATGAAAAATGTATTAATGTATTTAAATTACATAAATATGTATTTAAATGATAGCATTTTTTATTATCCGTGCAATGTTTTTCTTACGCAAAAGCTGAAAGCTAATATTTTTGGCAGTGCATGAAATGCAATTTCTTTTGGCCTTCACTCACATGCAGTGTGACAAACACATTTCGTCGTTGCTTCATAAATGATGCTCTTTGTCAACTGACTTACGCTGCCTCCACTTTTTCCCCGCTGCTGCACACGCCGCGCTTTCCATTTTGCCTGTTCGCAAATTTCACGCGTTGCCTGACAAAGGAATCCACTAATAATCAGGCAGCTGTCAACAATTTGAAGCTTTCATCAGTCTCGGGCGCTGCACTCAGCAACAATTCCTATCAAAATCTCATTAGTTGCCTGCAGTGGCTGCCTTTCTGTTTGTGTGTGTGTGTGTGTGTGTGTGTGTGTGGGTGTGAGTGCGTGTATATCTGACACTGGCATCCTTTTACATTTGGCTCTATTTTTGTGCAGGCAAAGGCGTATGCAAACAGCTGCCTGACAAACACACTTTTGTAATTAGTTCACCTGACATGTTATTGTTTAGGCACACACACAGACACGTAATTTCTCGTCTAATTACATCCCCTATCTGAATTGTCTAGTTCTGTTGGCAC